GCTGCTTCTCTTTTTTCGTACCAGGTTCACTCAGGACAAAGTAAATTGGTGCTAGTTAGTGCTGTTTGTAGGTGTCTGAGATAGGACCACCTGCCAGAGCATGTGTCATCTTTCACAGTCGTATCTTTGGAGAAAATGGACTCTTCATCTCCCAGCAACCATCAGCTGTTGAAAGCTCCTTGGGTAAAGGTGGGACTCCATACGCCTCTTCTGTTTGTGCTGGGAATTTTGCTTGATTGATCGTGCACACGTCTTATGCATGCAGTCACAGCTGCTATGGGTCACATGTGCAATGGCCCTGTCATGTCTGACAAGTAATGTTTTGCAGCAGATGTCTACCAACAGTGACTCTTTCCATATCTCTGTCCATTTTGTGGCTATCCCGTGAGTGCTGGGGACGGGGGTATGATGCAGGTGTCCCATTTAGAACTGAGCACTCCATCCTCTTGTATTCTCTGTACACAGACCAATTGTGGGTCTTTGTACTAATTGCCGTCTAATGTACAAGCGTCTGTGGTGAGAGGTGAGAGATGCACTAATCTGTGGGTGTAATGCTAAGAACGTGGGGAAGGCTTAATATTAAGTATTAAGTATATGCTCTATGGAGCATAATGATCATATTCCGTTCTCCTCTAGCACCTATGACCCAGCCAGTCTGTTTTCTGCACAAGTCTGCATCCCATGGAGTGAGCAGTCTCGCTCCATTTTGTAGTGATATACAGTGTTCACTTAGACTCGTGTTTCCATAATTTGGCCCCTTTAAAGGGGCACAGGCAGAGAAAATGGAATAGTGTATAGACCAATGATAATTCTTTGCTCAGCTTTCAATCATTCTGCAAGTGATGGATGAGTGATTCCTTGTTAGGAGCTGGGCTGGCAAGTCAAGTACGTTGGTGAAAATCGCACTGTGCTTGTCTCAAGAGGCTTGTAAATTGGTGCTGAAAATCTGGGGTTTGGAAACTCTGCAAAAAATAGAAATTTTGGGTTGCATAAAACATTTATACAACATTTTAATTTTGAAAATTAGTGTGTATTCAAATATGAATACACCTTGATGTTTAACAAGAATAGTAATTTTCTTTCTTTTGATTACTGTTTTCAAGCTTTTACAGTGAGTAGGCCAACATATATTTGTACCAACTTCTATTTTCTGAATGATGTTAAACACTGTTTTCTGGTTTGTTTTAAATTGCAATTTTGTACATAGGGCTGACCCTGTGCTCAGCTATGGCAGGCAGCAGATTTAAAAACACAGCTTTTAATTTCAAAGCAGCTAGATATAATTTGTTACTACAATGTGTTTGTTACATACACATTTACTTAGATATTAAAGAGCTTGATAGACGACCTGACCAAGAAAACAGGCCATTGACTCCAAATGAAACAATGGTCAAGTCAAAGGATCCAGTGTGTTGGAAGGACAGACCCTGATTATTTCTACTGCTTACTACCTCTGGCGGACTCTGAGTAGCTATATTTTCTGAGCCTTGGTTTTGTTTCTCATCATTTGCATGCTTTATGTACTACAAGGAGGGATGGAAAGCATCTGGGAAGGGACAGTAAACTCAGAACAAATTGCAAACTACACACTAGACATGAGCTTCATTTGTTCTCCAGAATCAGTGTTGATCTGCCGTCAGCTAAGCTACCAAAATTTAGACCTAGGTAAAGTTTAGACCTTTCCTAAACGGAGCCATGAAATCTTCTGGAACAAGGGCTGGGGATTATCTCAGCAGGTAGAGTGTTTGCCTAGCATGAATGAAGTCCTGGCTTGATCGTCTACACTGAATAAGCCCAGGTATGGAGACTAATTTGGTCAGATGCTCAGGGTCTCCCCAAGGACCAGGCAGAATCCTTCTGCAAGAAGATAGCCCTGATGTCAACTTATTTTTACACTGGCTTCATGTTTTCTAGGAGAATCTTATGGAAAGCCCATGATACAAAGTGGTTTTTTTTTTTTTTTTTTTTGTGTGTGTGTGTGTGTGTGTGTATTTGTTAAATTATATTTAATAGTTTTTAAAAATTCTTTAATGACACTTTTTTCACTTTGTATCCCCCTGTGGTTCCCTCCCTCCTCCTATCCCAATCCCTCCCTTCCTCCACCCTCTGCATGCATGCCCCTCCCCAAGTCCACTGATAGGGGAGGTCTTCTTTTCTTTCCTTCTGATCATAGCCAATTAGGTCTCATCAGGAGTGGCTGCAGTGTCTTCTTCTGTAGCTTGGTAATGCTGCTCCCCCTCAGGGGGAGCTAATTAAAGAGCAGGCCAATCAGTTCATGTCAGAGACAGTCCCTGTTCCTATTACAGTGGAACCCACTTGGATACTGAACTGCCATGGGCTACATCTGTGCAAGGGTCTTAGGTTATCTCCATGCATAGTCCTTGGTTGGAGTATAGGTCTCAGGAAAGACCCCTGTGCTCAGACTTTTTTGGTTCTGTTGCCTTCCTTGTGGAGTTCCTGTCCTCCCCAGATCTTACTGTTTCCCACTTCTTTTCTAAGATTCCCTGCACTCTTCCCAAAGGTTGCCCATAAGTCTCAGCATCTACATTGATAGTCTGCAGGGCAGAGCCTTTCAGAGGTCCTCTGTGTCAGGCTCCTGACTTGTTCCCTCTTTTCTCCTTCTGATGTCCATCCTCTTTGCCTTTCTGGATAGGAATTGAGCATTTTAGCAAGAGTCCTCCCTCTTGATTAGTTTTTTTTTAGGTGTACAGATTTTAGTAGATTTATCCTGTATTATATGTCTATATGAGTGAGTATATACTGTGTGCATCTTTCTGCTTCTGGGATAGTTCACTCAGGATGATCTTTTCCAGATCCCACCATTTACCTGCAAATTTCATGATTTCCTTGTTTTTTATTGCTGAGTAATATTCCATTGTGTAGATATACTACAATTTGTGCATCCATTCCTCCACTGAGGGGCATCTGGGCTGTTTCCAGCTTCTGGCTATTACAAATAAGGCTGCTACAAACATGGTTGAACAAATGTCCTTATTGTGTACTTGAGCCTCTTTTGGGTATATGCCTAGGAGTGGTATGGCTGGATCTTGAGGAAGCACTATTCCTAGTTGTCTGAGAAAGTGCCAGATTGATTTCCAGGGTGGTTGTACAAGTTTACATTCCCACCAGCAGTGGAGGAGAGTTCCCCTTTCTCCACAACCTCTCCAGCATGTGTTGTCACTTGAGTTTTTGATCTTAGCCATTCTGATGGGTGTAAGGTGAAATCTTAGGGTCGTTTTGATTTGTATTTTCTTGATGGCTAATGAAGTTGAGCATTTCTTTAAGTGTTTCTCTGCCATTTGATATTCCTCTATTGAGAATTCTCTTTTTAGCTCTGTACTCCATTTTTAGATACAATATTTTAAATTTCATTTAATTTAACAGATATTTGGGAGTTAAACATTGTTGGCCTGTTGGCCAGATACTAGATATTTTAAAAGGCATTAACCTATCTTTCATGGCTTTGGAGTAGGAGAAAAGAAATGTTCTCAGCACAGTACAGAACTATTCCATCCTATCCTTGAACATTTTTACGTTTATTATTTTATTTCAGAATATGGCATTTGCATGAGAAGTATACATTTAAAAATTTGAAACATGATGCTTTATTTTAAAGGAAGAGCATTGTAGGAAATCACCCAAGGAGAATTTTCAAGGGGTCAAATCATCTCTTAAGAAGACTTTGTGAGAAATACATGATTACTAAACTCTAGGTTTCTATACAAGAATCATAGATAGATAGATAAATAGATAAACGAATCACTGAGCTTTAATTTAATTTACAACATCCGTACGGAGAAACTGCTACGCGTTTGTCTCAGTAGAAAGACGCCTTCGTGAAAAGTGCTCTGTTCTTCACTGAGACTTTGTAGGTACTTACACGTGGAAATGGAGTTTAACATTAAGAATTTCCTTTTCCTATTAATGGAAAGAATACCAAAGGAGCATTAAAAAGAGGAGGCAAAAAGCTTTATTAATGCCGTGTAAATCTTCAAACGAGGTAATAAGGCATTAAACAAAGGATGGCATCAACTACAGGGGAAAAAATAGAAATGAGGATAGGAAAACAAAACAAAACAAAACAAAACAAAACATCGTGGCTCGGAAGCTTTTTAAAACTTCTGAGCCAGGAAACCTCCTTTGCAGGGCGGGGAATGTCTTTGCTCTCCAGAGACCACTCCCTGCTAAGTTCCTCTCAAGTTTTCCCTACCCCTCCTCCATTCCTTGCTTTAGCCCCCTCACCAGTGAAGCCTCTGGAGATCGCCAGCACAGGTACCTGACATGGGTCAGAGCTGGACACTGACTGTGTGTTTATTTTAGACGTCACACACCCCAAATGGGCCTTATTTGTACACAGCTCCACAGGAATTCGAAGGACGAGTTGAAGCCTCTGGTCTATAAAAGAACAATAGTAAAACGCAGCGCGCCGCACGGCCCTTTGAGCCAAAGGGTTAGCGAGTGGCGCTGAGAGCCGGAGTCCTGGCGGGGGCCCTGGAGCCTAAGCCCGGAAAAGGCGCGCTGCCCCTTTAAAAGGCCGCGCATCTCCAGGCCGGCCTTCCTCCCCGGGGCTCCTGCTGTGATTGACGCTGGGCGGCGAGAGGAGGCGCCTGGCGCTAACAAAAGTCCGGCCCGCAGGCGAGCAGCGTCGGGCCACAAGTCTCTGCTCACTCGGGGCAGGGCAACAAGTGGCCGCCGCGCCCTCCCCGGGGAAGCCGAGGACGCACGGGGGCGCAGGGAAGAGGCGGCGGAGCCAGATAGCCCGGGGCAGGCGCGGCTCGGCGCTCACGGCTGGGGACCGCGGAGGCGCATGGGGACCCCGCGGCGGAGGCGAGGCGAGCCTAGGGGCGGCACCCGGGCGCGGGCTCAGCGTGGTGCTGCTCCCACCAGCCCGGAGCGCGGATTCTGAGAGCCGCGGTGGCTGCCCTGGACACTACCCGCCACCCTCTGGGGTGCCAGGAGCGGACCTAGCACCACCCCTCCCGTCGCAGAGCAGGGCCAGATCGGCTCGCAGAAGGGGCATGTGCAGCTAACGGTCCGGTCTTGCTCGGCTTTCCTCGGTCCCGCCGCCTGGGAGGTGCGCCCCAGCCATGCAGTGTCCAGGGAAACGGCGGGCATGACGGCGACAGGATGGGCGCGAACAATGGCAAACAGTACGGCAGTGAGGGTGAGTGGACCGAAAGTCCCCCGACTCCAGGATCGCGCCCCCTTCCTTTCCTCTCGCACACAGTTCAGGCGCACCCTACTTTGGTGTGGTTGAGGTTGTCGTCTTCCCTTTGGTCTCTGCGTGATCAGTCTTTGGTACCTCGAGGATGCCTTTCCACCACTGGGTCTCTTAAGCAGTTTTCCAGGTTGTCTTTAGGACTGCTCAAGTTGCATTTCTGCAGTGTTTCTGAACTCGTGTGCCTCAGCTTTTCTTGCCTGTGCACCTTGGTGTAGGTGACGGTTTGGCAGAGAATTGAAACTTTCCCAGGCCTTTGTGCTTCAGTCCTCTGGACTTCCTCGTACCAGGAAAAAAACTTAACTTCTGGAAGAAGTTAAGCTTCCATTCTTTGCTAACTGCCCTGGTCTGACAGCTCTGTGAAACTAACCACCTATGTGTCCCGCGAGGCATGGAGTGGCTGGGAGCTTTGTCTGGGCTCTCTTTAGGCTCAAGACAGGCAGAGCACCATCTGTTACTCGGGCTGGAAATTGCACAGAAATATTGCCTGTCAAGTGAGAACTTGGAAGTTGGGGAAACTTTAAACTCCGCCTACTCCTAAAGGGATGATGGATGTGTGGGTTGCCTTCTCAGTCCCGCCTCCCCCGCTTTGCATAATACCGATAGTGTTTTAACTCCGGTGATTAACAGCATGTCCCTGATATGCACATAGCAAAGGAATTTTCTACAGTTCAAGAGTTAAGGTCTGTATCTAGAGAATCTGGTAGAAGGGAGCGAAGAGACCGGCTGGGCTTTTGAGCCTTTCCCCAGAGAACAGGCGGTTACAAAGGAGGGTGAGCCCTTGCAGACTGGTAGGAATGCAGAACAGCTATTCAGCGCGTCGTGTTAGGGAGCCTCTTATCAGTCTGCTCAAAACTTGGAGCCATGATCACAAAATGTAGGGGTCTCTCCCTGTTTGTATCTGTGTTCATTTCTGAGCAATTTTGTAAAATTATGCTGAAAAAAACACACCCTAGGAAAATTCACATGATTAAAAAAATCATTCATTTCTAGACAATCATGTTTTGAATTCCATTTTCTTCTACAGATGTACATATTCATCCGGATGCATATAACCATATTTTTGTCCTGGGTAGATACATGAGAGAAATATTTTGAAAGAAATGTTAGTCTTTTGTGAAAGTGGGCCAAAATAAATAAATAAATAAATAAATAAATAAATAAATAAATAAATAAA